TTACACAATGCTTTACTTTTGCCTTTGGCCACAGCTGACTTATACAATAGTCTGTTCAATGTGATAGAGTGTAGTCTGGCTTGCCTTAATAGCCTTGATGTAATTAACCAATTAGGTGGGTGGTGTCACCATTTATGAAATAGTTGAAAAGAAATCTTAGAATTTTTTTATACTCCCTCCCCATCTAATTTTGATCTTTAATGTTACTGTAACATGTTATTTTGAAAGCTTTGTTGGAAAAAAAGACATCCTGCTAAACCTGTATGTGTATTTTTTCTGTATAATGTAATTATGCTTTCTTTGCTAGATTTCATTTTGAGAAAAGGAGATTTAAACCTCAAAACCTTTAAATAAAGTGAAAGAAATGAAAAGTCAAACAAAGATCATTTAATAAAACCAACACAATAGGAAAAAATGTTGAGAGGATGGATAATTATAGGTCCTGACTGTCTAACGTGGGTCAGACAACAGTTGGCACTGCGGTCAGTGCTGTAAACACAGGCTTACTGCTGCAGGACTTGAAGAGTAACATGTGGAACTGTTGACTCACAGGTTAAAACAGGCCACATCTGTCTTTTCTGACCAGCTGTCACATCACTTTCAAAGCTGATAACCGAATGGTTGGACATTTGCCATGAGTCATTTATAATTACAGTTATATGTTGTAACCAAACAGACAAGAGGGAGCTGTATAGATCTACAAATCACATAAGAAGTGTTAGTGATGCTTATGAGTAGATGCTTTTTTTTTCTTTTTAAATATCTAATTGAGTATGGATTTCACTGATGGTCTCTTGTCCTCCTCTGTGTTTATTATTGTGTTTTATTATTAAAGCGAAAACTGGCATTACAGTGATGAAGACAAATAACAGCATTGTTGCATCTTGATGGTCAAAAAGTTTAAGACTGTTTATTGTCAGGTACAGGAGGAATATTATTTTGGACCACCATGTCTTGTAGTCAGATTTTAAAATCAAGCTAATATTGGTCATCAAAGCTTAAGAAGAGTCTGTGTTAGGTTTAGAAAGATGTAATTATGTCACTGAAACCAATAAAAAGTAATTTTCTTCACTCTCTAAAAGTAAAAATGCTTCCAAACATCTCAACTTCTCAACACTTTGCATTTAAAATTTGATTAATGCAAATGAAATCATTCAAACTGAAATGAAAACAGGACAATTAACCATTTTTTATCGACCGCTGTGCATTTCTAGTATGTTTCATTCGACACTGTAGTGCTGCATGAAACCACTAGAGAGTGCTGCTTTCATAGGACATTTTCCATTTTTGCTCAGTGATATTTAAACCAATTTATAAAACAGTGTCTCAGCATGTTACCTTGTATGTGAGCTCAGTGAATGTGTTCACATCTAGAACTGCTATCTTCACATATCTTCAGTGTACGAAGCCAAAACAACCCGGGACATAAAAATAGTCTAAATAGATCCCTTGGGACATCCGTACAGTTGGAATTTCCTGGACAGCTGGAGTCAGTGAGAAACACCAGACATGAACATGGTCCATGTGAACCTTATTCAGTTAGAGAAAAGTTGAAGTTAGTAAATTAATTTATGTTTGTAAGTGTGAAGTGAAAAATATATCAGAAGGACTTTCCAGTATGATGCTGTTTAAAACAACTATGGCCTTTAAAATGACCATTAAGTTGAATCAGCACCTCTCTGACAAACAGAAGTGAACATTACAGGCTTTACAGTTGCAGGTTTTTGTTACTGGATTGAATTCTAAACTGTATTGGATTATACAGACGTACTCACTGTAATAATAACTGAGGACAGAGTTGAATATTCCAGTTATAAGGTGATGAAATAAAATAGATTTATGTGGCATATATAAATACCAGGAGGGGGATGAAGTCATTAGATGACTGTGTTGTCGCCTTCCTGCACTTGACTTCTTCTGTGGATCTGCAGAGTTTCAAGGAAAACACTGAGCGGTGAGCGGCAGCTGCTTGATAATTGGGGCTTATTGTTAGATCAGAGTAAAGCCGAGGATGGTTGTGACAAAAGCTGCAGAGAGACTTTATGTTCTATTCTTTGATGTTCACTCATATGTACTAATCCTGCAGGTTACTTTACCTTTAGGTGTCTGGCAGGACACTAAGACCTGGGCTTTATGATATAAATATATTGAATATATTATCATATGATTATTATTGCTGCACATTCTAACTGCACACATCTTACACAGGATAAAAACAGACATTTAGGAAATATTTATTTGCAGTACATGTATAAAACAAACTAATAGAGAAAACTACTGTAACAAAAGGAGATGTTTCATAAGAGGGTGAATATAATACACTTATTCACTTTCTTACAGTATGAGGATTGCAGTTTTATTGTCCTGTCACATCTCTGCAGTAAATACGGAGCTAAAGCCAGCTGCAATTAGCTAATTTGCTTAGCATATAGAGTGAAAACAGAGGGAAACAAGTAGCAATGGTAAAATAACACCTGCCAAAGTCACCAAAGTTCACTAAATGTCATATTATATTTGTTTGTTTAACCTGCACAAAAAGGTGTAAAAATATGTAGCTATGGACTCCAAGGAGTTAGTGCATCATGACAATTACTATTAGATGGATTTTTTTTAACCTAAATATATCAGTAAACTTTATTCTGCAGTAATGCATCATCTGGTTTAACTAAACTTTATCTTATTTACATTTTTTTTGTTGCTGCTGTGATAATCTGCTTTTATGTTATGCACCTATTGTTGCACCATTTGGAATTTGCTATATACATAAAATGTATAAGTATTGCTATTTATAATATTATTAATATTATTATTAGCAGCATTTATCGTTGTCGTAGTTGTAGAGTAATAGTAGTAGTATTATAATTCTTATTATAGTTATTATTAGTAGTACTAATAGTAGTAGCTGTAGTAGTCGTGGTTGATGTAGTTGCAGAGTAGTAGAAGTAGAAGTAATAATAATAGTAGTAGTCTTCTTCATCGTAATAGTAAAAGTATTATTATTATTAGTAGGAGTAGCAGCACTAGTAGTTGTACTAGTAGTATTAGTATTAATATTAGTAGAAGTAAGACTCGTAGTAGAAATTATTATAGTTATTGTCATTATTAGTTGTAGTAGTAGTCATCTTTGTCGCCGTAGTAGTATTGAAAGTATCATTATAATTAGCAGTAGCAGCACTACAAGTCGTAGTAGTAGCATCAGTAGTAGTATCAGTAATAGTAGTAGTAGTAGAAGTAGAAATAGAAATATTATAATTATTATTATTACTATTAGAAGCAGGAGTATTAGTTGTAGTAGTTGTTGTCATAGTTGTAGAGTAGTAGAAGTAGTAATAGTAGCAATAGTAGTAGTAATCGTCTTCATCATCATAGTAGCAGTAGAACTATCATTATTATTACCGATATTATTAGGAGTAGCAGTACTAGTAGTTGCAATGGTAGTAGTAGTAATATTAGCAGTAGTGTTAGTAATATTGGCACTGCTAGTAGTAGTAGTAGTATTCGTATTAGTAGTAGTCATTGTTGTCGTCATTGTAGTAGTAGTAGTTAGCATCGTTATTATTAGTATTCGTAGTGGGTATATTAGTATTAGTAGTAATAACATCATTCTGAACTGTAGAAAACTCATTTTGAAGCAGGATGTTCACAAGCTAAACCAGACTGATCCTATTTATCTGATAATTAGTGCAGCTCTCCTGTTTTTCACTTAATCTCAACATTTGGAAGCTGCCATGTTGGAAAACCAAGTAGTGTCTTGTAGCGTATTACACAGTGTGTCCTCTATTCATTAGACAACATGAAGCACTGTAGCCCGATGAATGTCGTGTATTAGCTCCCCTCAGTGTATAATCGTGGGCTGATCTCTTTTAATGGGCTCACACCTCACATTGCTGCCATAACATTTCAGGTATTCTGTCCTGCTGATGGCTGACCGCTGTATTATGTGAAACAGTGGTGGGTGAGGGCCAGAAAAGAGGAATGTTCATCGCAAAAGCCTCAGACGTTTTCAGCGATGTGATGTTTTTGCCATGGAAACTTCCCAGATGTTAGTGTTGAAGTCGATTTCCAGAACAATGTCCAAACTTTTGTGGCAGCAGAATGAAACCTACCTGCCAAGTGTTCTTTGGCATAATTTATTTAAATAGGAAAGTAATTTATATTCATGTGTCATCCTGGCATCAGCATGATTAAAAATCAGCCGCTGAACTCTGACACTTCTATTTACCTTTCCTTTATTAGCTGTTAATGACCTGAGGAGACAGGAGGAGACATTTGTGTACTTTCACATATCAGAGTGACACTGAAAGGGAGAGTGACAAAGAGACACTAAGTGGCATCTGTTGTGTGCGAAGCAAGTAACAATAGCATAGCTAAAGTTAGCAACAGACACAGCTGAGATTACTGCCGTAAGAAGCCAAGACAAAAGCTGCTGGAGGTTAACCAGCAGTGGTGTACTGTAGCTTAGAAGCCAGCAAGATGCTAAACAACTTAGAAAGACATAAGAAAACATCTAAAACTGAGCTAAATGTATGATAAAGAAGATTAAACCCAAATCTGAGCATGAAAAAAATGTTAGATGATGATGTTTGGATGATGTGACTTTAATTTTTAAGTATGTAGACTTTGTCATTTTCATAAAACGTGGACAATAAAGTGTTAAATAATCAGGAAACTGTGAATAAATGAATGTAAAGTAAACACACAATCATTCAAACACATTCTGTACATTTCATACATTTAAAAAAAGTGGATCAAAAGGCCAAAAAATGTCATTTAAAGATCAAAGAACGACACGATATCTTAACACAAACAGTGAAAAGCAGCCTTGTGTTTACCTGCATGTCAGGCAGGTTATGCTCATTGGCAGATGCCTGCACCCATAAATGTGTTGCCCTGCGGGAGTCGACTTGCCCCCCAGCTCTGCTCTCGGCTATATTTATCTCCACCCTCACCATAAAAGGCTGCGACTGCTGCTTGGACACTCTGGCAAGGGCCAATATTATTTTTGTTGTGTAGACCACAGCACTGTACGCAGCTACCTGTAGGTTTGCTGGGATATCAGGCTTAAAGTGTGGAATTGGGCCATCTTTTCCCTTAAAGCTTGGAGTTTGAGGGGTTCTGTCTGGGGTAAGTGGCCTCTGCTGGGGTAAGATGTGAGATTTGCATTGCATATGTCTGTCTGAGCATGCTGACAAAGTGCCTGATTGCCTGAAACTTAAATCATCTCTTGGTTGCAGGTTTGAATTTAGAGGTTCCCTGTTGTTGTCTTTTTTTGGAACTGTTGACTCAGTATGGTTTCTTTTTTCCCATCTTGAGTTCTAGATTAATTATCCCATTTTTAATTAAGAAAGAATCTTATCAATTTACGATGAACCTACATTAAATGATGTCGCTCTTGCACACTAACCAACCACACAGACAAACGCATAGACAGGAAGAAACTCAGAAACTCAGAGGTTTGTACGAGGAGCGGCCTGCATCATGTCCGGCTCGATACCCTTCTACCAGAAGCACCAGCGCCACTACGACCGCGGCTACCGTAGCAAGGAGACGGAGTCCAAACTGAGCCAGTACCAGTCCAGCAGCAGGTATGCTGCCGCCGCCAGCAGCAGCAGCAGCGTCTCCTCCGCCATCAGCACCAGGAGCAGGGGGTAAGGAGGAGGAAGGAGGATCGCACCTTCATCATCAGTGACAGGAAAACTCTACTACCACCTCCCTAACACCTCCATCTACCTGATCCAGTTCACCTCCATCACCCTTGTTGGAGTCTCTTCCCCCCCGTCACAGCTTTGGGATCATCTTACCTTGTCATCAAGTAACCATCTTTCTCCCCCACCTCCCTTGAGTTTTCTTTCACTCTGATCAACCCCTCACACACATCTGAGGGTCTTCATACTGATTGAAAACAGCTTTGCATCCTGCACGAAGCTCTTTGCATGAAAGACGCCCCGTTTAATGCATCCCGATGAAGCCTTAATTTACCACAAGCATCCCCAAATAACTAAAAAGAAAAATAACTTGTTTGTGTAGTTTTTACCCCTTTCTGAGCAAAAAAAAATCTGCTGTTAGATAAGCTGTAAGGATGTGCAGTGTTATGTAATGGCAGTGTTATGGTATATGGCATTGACTGAAATAGCATCTTGACCTGTGCATAGCATGCGAGAGTGAAAGCAAGAAGTCTCCTTCACTTGAAAACTCAATCCCTGCGTGGTGGATTCACTCAGTCTTTAAAGCCCGATCACATCGATTATCATTTTGTTTTTTGTTTTAATGCCAATAGACACGAGGAGAGTTGTTGTTGGTTGGATGAACTGGTCAGCCGGTTGGTGTTTCTAAGGGAGACACACGTGGATCAAATAGGATTAGTGGAGTTTCTGTTGTTGTTTGTGACCTAAAGGTTGGAGTTAATAGAACGTACAAAAACACCCGTATTTTGAAGGTACACAGCCACAAATCTGCAAAATAAAAAAGAAAAGTCTATCAAACATGATGACCAGACCAGTTCAGCTTCAGTGATATTTGCAGGATTGCGGTTTTCTATCCCAGGAATAACAAAGTGATCCCGTCTTTTACAGTGTCTGGCAAATCTTTAAATACACTGGCCTGGAGAGTGTGAACAGGTCAGAGGGCTTAGGTTTTACTAACACCATCTGATCTTTGCCTTTACACTCATAGCTGGGCAGCACACCAGCCCCCAAATCTGTGCTGAGGCGAGGAGAGCAAGATGATGATGTGATGATGATTTAACAGTCAGCGTGATTACGATAATGCTGTTGCTGCACAGAGATCATGTGTGTTTCGTGTCATATGCGACGGCTCTCATTTGTTGTGTTATAAATCAAGCCAATACAAGCGCGATCCTGGAAAGTCAAGTGGCTGTTACATGGTGAGAGATGAAGGGACGCTGACCCAGATAGATACAGGAAGAATGAGGGCAGCTGCCCTGTCACCCGTCTTGCCCCTGCCTCCTTATCGAGTTCTTGTTATCTCACGCTGTGAATCCCCGCCCCCGGCTCTCCAGAGCTGCAGATAGTGTTGCCCCAGACAAACTGGGCGGCGCCTGACCGAAAGAATACGATGGACAGAATCTTGTTAACGTGAGAACCTCAAAAAAAGGAACATAGAAACTATCTTACTGTCAGGTTGGAATGTTCTTCAGTAATTGTCACCATTTGCTGTCACTTTCCTGATTTTATCTAAAGAAAGCACAAAGAGAGAGATGGAAAATTTAACTTTAGATACAGATAGAGGTGGATTTTATTGATCCCACTGGGGGAAATTCAAGATATCCAGTAGCTCAGACATTCAAGAAAGATAAGGAAACCAATGTATAAAAGAATGTGTGCAACAAATGTGCAAACTGTGCTGGTTGGAGACATAAGGTGCCAAAATTGTTGCTATTTACAATAAAAATAGAGCATTAAAAAGTCTGAGGACAATCTATTCAGATTGTTTAATGTGGTGTTAATAGGATTTGTGAGATATTTGGTTTGTTTTTACTCCTGGATTTGATGATTGAATAATGGTGCTCTCAGTGGAGCCAACGTTGTCTTTCGTATCCGATGGCCTTTGTTGATATTGAAAACATAATAATTAGGGTGTAGAAATGCAATAATCCAAACTAAACCATCTCCTTTCCCCCTGAACCTTAATCTACCTCTCATCCTCCCCCCGGCCTTGGCTTTGTCCCCACATGTTTATGTCATGTTGTTTAGCTGCTCTGTCTGGCTGCTTGCCAGGCTCATGGTATTCTGTATGTCTCAGACTCAAAGTGTCCTCACACTCTGGGCTGGAGGAGAGCAGACTCAGCCCCATACCCAAGAGAGCCAAGCCAACTTACTTGGCTGTGGATAAAGAGAACCAAATCATCGGCTATGTAGTGCCAATCTTCAGGGGCAGGTAACCGACGCTTCACCTACTGGAAATACAAGAGTGTTATTTCAGTTTTCATGATGTGCCTTTGCTCCCCCACGTCCATCCCCGGCTGCTCTGCTCCAGCCCAGAGTTCGCTACAAGATTTTCAGATTCAGAGGAAGCGAGAGGGAGGGGCACTGCAGGATACATGGCCCGCAGGGATTTGTTCACCAGTGGTCTGGAGATGGAGAGGTCAGAGCAGATCTCCAGGAGGGAGGCCATGCGCGAGTCGGCCGAACGCATCTCCCTGAACAAAAGGGTCAGTGGAGGATTCCTCGCTGAGGAAGAAGCGCTTCTTAGTGTTGACGCCACAGAGCTCAGACTTAGTGTTCTGTAGTCGTGTTTGTTTGGTGTGTGTGTGCAAAAACCTGCAGACTTTCTCATTTTTGTATTTGTGACATCTCTGTTCATAACAGTCATTACATAATACTGGCATAATGCATCATGGTAAGAATAAGAATAGGGATAAGGACCAGAACGAGAATCAGAATAGGAAGGAGAATAGGAAGAAGAATGAGAATAGGAATAGAAATAGGATTGAGAACAAGAATACAAATACACATACAAATCTGAACAAGAGCAAGAATAAGAATAGGAATAAGATTAAGAATTTATAGAGCACTTTTCAAAATCCAAGTTACAAGGTCATAAAATCAAACTTTACAGATATAAACAACATGATGTTTAAAAACTAATAGTGTTAAAAAAGCTTAAAAATATTAGAAATAAAAGACAGCCCAAAGGAAATTAAAAGTCAAGTAAAACCAGAAAAGACTTATAAGACAATAAAAGTGTGTTTAAAAAGGAACTTAAAAGAGATGCCGACCTGATTTCTTCACGCCGATCACACCAGAGCTGCAGGGCCATAAACGGGAACATCTTGTCTGATTTAGTTTTCAGGCTCCTAAAAAATAAACAAAAGACTTTTGTCTGAGGATCTCAAAGTGCAGACTGATGCATGTGGTACTAAAAGGTCAGAAAACATAACAGGAGGGAGGCCAGAACAGAATCCTAAAATCTATCCTAAAACATGCCAGTGTGAAGAGGCTAAAACTTAAAGAGTGATCTGGTTACAGTAAACATTATTCTACACAAACTGGCACCACAACAGACCTTTATTCTCAAAGACACCGCAGACTGACTTAGCACTTAGCAGACACAGCATTAGAAGTCTCTATTTTGTTGTTATGACATTAAAAATGAGCTTTAAGTGTTAAGTGCGGCATCATGAATTTGCTTTTGTAGTTGTGCAATTGCAACAAACAAACCTCAGTTGTGATCTTACTGGTTGGCCTCATGCATCATCACAGAAAACCATTCCACTTCAGGGCATATCATATTATTTTTTTGTTACTTGTGACGTCACAGAAAGACTTTCAGACTAAAAAAGATTGTCTCTACGCAATATCGGGCTACGAAACACTATATTAATTCCATAGTAACATAGCTGACCACAGTTCATTAGTAGCGCTTAAGAATACCAAGTGCCTGCGGCTAAGTGGTTGTTATTACTGCCCCTTACACAAGGAAGTTATTTATGTCCCGGGGTGATTATGTGAAGTAGTATCCAGCCACTCAATGAGCATCTTTAAAGCCACAGTTACTCCCGTCACTGCATTTATCTGTCTCCGCTCTGCCAGATAGTCTTCCTACTGGGTGACAAATTCTTCAGGAGATCGAGTTTCCTGAGACACAGGGAGGCAGTGGTGTTGTCATTCTGTGTGCTGAGGATAGACGCACAACTAGACGAGGCCTCAACACCCTTCATAGGACATTCTAGTGTTGCATGTGCAAAAACAAATTGGGTTTGGATTTATATTTGCATATGTTAAAGTTTGTTGTTGCTGCGAGCGTGCATTGTGAATTCCTGGTGAAATCATGAGGGATTGTTTGGTTTGGCAGAGGTGAGTCTGTCCTCAGTCATCTACTCTGCTATCTTTAGATCCATGAACACGAGGAGCACTTCAAGCGCATGAACGAAGACAGCCTGATGCACTCCCCAGAGTTTGTGATTAAGCCTCGCTCCCACACTGTGTGGGAGAAGCAATGTGTGCGGCTGCATTGCACCGTCAGCGGGTGGCCCGACCCCCGAGTCGTCTGGTAGGTCGCAGATCACCTCCGACCCGTCCCTTCTGTCCTGTCGACACCCTCCCTAATACAACCATGTAGTTTTCACAGCTCCTCTTTTGTTTCCGTTCCATCATTTTCAAGCTTTTGTCTTCCTCTCTCTTGTCTGTCCTCTTTCATGTTCTCTGCCTCCCACTACAAGGTACAAAAACAATGTGGCAATTGACCCTCTTGCCAACCCTGGCAAGTATAAACTTGAGAGCAGATACAGCGTGCACTCACTGGAGATTAACAGGTAGGTGTAGCTTCTCATGTCCGCAGCACCTAAAATACACTGTTCTCATAAATCCACAGATACATATCCTGTGCCACGGTTTAACATCAGTGCAGCGCAATCACTGGAGAGATTTTTATATTTTCATACAGGTTGTGTAACCAGAAAAGTTGCAGCTCTCCACCTCTGTAGCTTAAGTTTTACCACAACTATTGAGATTATCTACCTTGATGATAGAGGTAAATAATCTGCAGAAAAGAGTTACACTTTCTGTAGTGTTCCTGTAAGGATAGTATAAGTTTAGATTTGAGTTTACTATTGTTTTGCCATTTTTGAGCTAAGATGTGATATGTTAAGATATGCCTTAATTAATCTCACTGCAGGGAAATTTGCAGTATTACAGCAAAGGGGATAGTGCAAATGTGTCGGGAATATCACTGGAAAATAGAAATAAACAAGAAATATACATCTGTACTGTTTATATTGCACAGATTCTTCCATATGTGGAAATTCCTCCGTGTGTGGAAAACAACATATTGCACATATCTATATGTTCAAGACCATCCTACACATCCATGACCAATTTAGAATCACTTATAACTAACAAGTACATTTCTAAACTGTGGGAGGGAGCCGGAGCAACGGCATGCAGACACAGAGTGAACGCACAACCTCCACATGAAAGGCCCCAGCTGACCAGCAACTTTTTTTTGCTGAAAGGCGACAGTGCTAACCACTGCTCCACTGTCCCCTCCTCTGATTGGCACCAAAATATTCAAATTTGGCTTCAAGGAAGAAGTGGCTATGGTTGGACGAGGATCACCAGTGGCCAAAGCCAACTCTGATATACTGACACAGTAAACCAAAGATGTTCTTCACACACTGAGGGCTCAGTCCAACATAAACCGTCTTCAAGTAATTTCAGAGTAAAATGAATATAAAATATGAGACACTCTCTGCAAAGTCAGGTCAACTTCTTTCTATGGTTAGACACAATATTATCAACTGTGTGCCTCGGAATTAGTTCTATTTATGTGATGTACGTAGAGAGATGCGTTTGCCTCAAAAACACTTGTTTCCATCAATCGTATTTAATAGTAATCTAGATGACTGATCATTTAAATATTCCAGGAGAAAAGCTGCAAGTTCAGGCAAGATGAAACCCATAAAGTTTCCTTTGATATCCAAAATAAATAACTAATAGTAATCAGTAATAATAATAAGTAAATCTGCTGCTATTGACAAAAAAAATCTGTCCGCACCATATATGACAGCTTATCTAACTACAGCAACTTACAATAAAACAATAAAAATGTGTTTCATTGCTACTAGACTATTTGTTGCCCTAATTTTTAGTTTATCAATTAAAGAAGTCACGTTTTTTTACGCAGTTACGAGGAAGTATGCATGTACACAATAATGCTGCTGCTGCTGCAAATATGCTGCTGTAAGACTGTAAAAAGGAAAACTCTCTCTAATAAAACACTTATGACAGAAAAATCTTTTGAATTTAGTAAACATCAGACTTTTACAAACAGTAAAAGAAGATCCCAGTGTTTTTGTCAACTATATCATATAATTTCTGAGGTCTTTAATGCACACGTGGAATATCAGATAAATAGAAAACTGCTATTGTTTAAAAATTCGACTTAATTTTGTAAAAGAAAAAAAAGAATTTCACTGTTCATAAAGCATTCTGGGCTATAGCCTCGACCTCACAACACATCTGCCACAAACTAACCACGATCCAATACCCCTTACTTCTCCTTAAGCCTTAGTTTATTAGTTTGTCTATTAAACAGCTTAATCTAAATATAAAACACTGACTTTGGACATCAAGAGGAAAGCTGGGACCCTTTAAACAAATATAATTGTGTACGTCACTCAGCATATCCGGCCATTAAAATGGTATGACTCTAGAGCCAAACTCTTGATGTGTGGGGTAAATAGGTGTTGATACTGTATTTAACTTTGTCCCTGTTTGACTCACACCAGAGGCCTGTGAGCTCAAGAACTTCCAGATTATTTTGCCATCGAGAATTAAAAAACACATCTAATAATAGTCTCCATCAACATCCATAAACAGCCAAATGAAACTCACATTTCTCCACGTTTCTTGGAGTCACATTCATGGTTTCTGTTCTGCACTTTTAAGCACTGACACTTTCATGCACAGAGACTCACTACACCTGGTGAGAGTGACATCACCAGCGGTGTCTATTTATTGCCAGAGTATTCCTGGCCGGGAGTTATGGAACGCTGTACAGTCGGGCTTCACATAGATGGTGTTATTTACATGGCAGAGGGCCGAGGCAGGGGGGGGAAGGGCAGCATACACCAAAACACGTGAATCCTAAAAAGATAGAATTGATCAGCTGATGTTCTCCTCTTTCAGATGTGATTTTGATGACACGGCGCAGTATCACGTCTCCGCTATGAACACCCAGGGAGAGCAGTCTGCTTTCGCCTCCGTCGTCGTCAAGAGTAGGTTTCAAGAAATCCCACTGATTCCCCATAATCACAAAGTTGTGCCAAATCAGAAGATAAATACATTCATTATATTGTCCAAATCAACTGCTCAGTGCTTGTGTGTGTGAAACGCTGCACCATCTCGTGTGATTTTAATAAAATACTGTACATTCAGTGCATCACCGGTGTCACACAACACTCTGTATGTGCTGCATGTATTAATAGCGACTGTCCTCTGCAGGGTTCAAAGGTGACATTGATGAGAATCTGCCATCTCCCAGACGTAAGTGTGAAAATCTCAAAAATAATTCTCAACATGTCTAATTATATTACTGCCAATGTTAGCAAACAAACATTTATAATTTTTCTGAATAGGGAGTCCATAAGTCTGTCTGTTTGTAGCTCTGTTTTGGTCTCCACCAGCTCTTCAAAAATATCCACTTGGTTCTGTCGCTCAGCTGCTCAACTCCCCTTACCAGCTAATTGCTAACTTTGTGCGTCTGCTGTTTGGAGCTGGGCATGTAGCACACATCTGGATTATCAGAGCTGTTTTGCTGACAACATTCACCTGCAGCTGATTGATAATAAAAGCAAATTTGTTGGCGGTTAAAAGCCAAACCAACGAGCTAAAAAAGGGGCTAAAAGGCTCCGCAAAGCTAAACAGCTGTGTGATAATGCTCTGTGGGTTTGTCGTAACAAGTGACCACTTTTATTACAATACAAGAAGAGTAAAGGTAAAAATAACACAGCTTTAATTTTGTCATTAATCTTTGTAAAAATGACTCAATGCTGGGTTGTTGATGACTCATAGCTGATGTGTGTGGCGGGATGTTGTGTGAGCAGATGTTGTATGAGACAGATGTTGGGTGGAGCGGATGCCTTTGCACTAACAGCTTTTCTGTTTCCTTAATGCTGCGGCGACAATGCAGGGGCCACTGAAGGTAAAAAGGTCACAGGAATCTGGTTTGAAAACACTGTGGTGGACTTTAAGTTTTCACTGACTATATGTCCATGCATGGCCACTCTTGTTTTTT